TTTCGGGATAACTAAATAAAGATATTTCCTGGCAAATGACAGTACAAACCAAACGTTTGCGAGCTGAGTTTGCGTCAACGAATGGAAGAAGCCTCGATTATAGTAGTATAAAATCCAACAGCTTGAGATGTTCATCCGAACTGGTTTTGATCACATTTGTTACGTCTTTTTTCCTTGCTTTTAGGTAATTTTTAAATCACTTTACGAGCATTTTATTGATCAGTTTTGACGAATTTTAAGTCATTAAAATCCGCACGACACTTTTAAGCCTCAATTAATAACCAAACTAATATTGTTATATAATGTCACCATTTGAATATCCCAGAATGTTAGACGGAATTTGTCGTGCTTCAAATGAACTATAATTCTTGTTTAAATTTGACTCTTCGTCCTGAGAAAGATGACACCTGATAGTACTTAGGTTGATGGTACGTATACCATGGGTTTCTTCTAATATTACTTGCATTATACAAATAATTGTTTTTGGTATTAATTATGCATGGAAATATGTACGATACAGATTTCAGATTCGTAAAGTTTGACTTTATAAAGTGAGTGGTTTCATTTTACCCATTTAAATAAAGTTTCTCTTTCTTTATATCCATTTAGACAGTGTGTTATGTTCAAAACTAGTGCTGCTTCAACACCATATACTTTAACGCCTTAACGTATATACGGAGTAATATATAGTGAAAGTTTTGTAATGCTGTGGAAAATCGATTCCGAGATTTCGATGGAAATACACGTTTTGGGGTCTCCTGATACAGAATTTTTTTTACCCCTTCAAAACGTCCGTCCGTCCGTCCGTCCGTTCGTCCGTTCGTCCGTCCGTTCGTCCGTCCGTCCGTCCGATCGTCCGTCCGTCCGTCCGTCCGTCCGTTCGTCCGTCCGTTCGTCCGTCCGTCCGTTCGTCCGTCCGTCCGTTCGTCCGTCCGTCCGTCCGTCTGGTGTCTGTGCTTCAACCATGCTTAGGATTTTTTCCAAATTGAAGAAACCCGTGTTGATCTGGCTCGAGTCGAATCTTTGAGATTTTTTAAAAAAAAGTTAAATTTAGGGGTACTTTACATAAAGCACACCTGGCATTTTCAATTTTTTTTCAAAAACGGCTCCAAAATTTTTTCTTTAAATTTCTTCAAAGAATACAGTAAAATACACTTATAAGGTGGCATAGGTCCGATTTGTATGGTTAACTCTAAATTTTTGCAAATTTCGAAAGTATGCTTCTTTTTCGCTGTCTTGCTACAACTACAAAATTGAAGATAGAAAGTTTTCCTTCAAATAAAATTTGTTTTCTATAGTGAGTTCTTTCAATAAGGTCATGTACATTTTTTGAACATTACAGTAGTTTTCGCGCAATATTGCGTGCAATATGTATAATTTAAAATAAATACAAAATCAAGATTTTCCCAAAAATGGTTGAAATTTTTTTCTTTACACTGTTGGCAGGGGTAGTTATAAATGTACTCTATGAGATGACATATATGTCAAATTGCTCTATTCTTTTGTTCTTTCAAATATTACAAAAATGTAATTATTTGACTTGTCTCTCATGTTAAAATTTATATAATTGGCAATTTGTTTATATTATTGTGTTTATGAGTATATGTGCTTTATATAATGCCATATAAAGTTTCTCGACAACTGCCGTTTTCTGTAAAAACTAGCTCAAAACTTCGCATTTTCGGAAACGCTCAAACGCCATTTTCGCAAAAAGGCTCCAATTTTTTTCTTTAAACATTTCGAACGGAGAGTGTTAATTGCACTCTTTAATATGACGTAAAGTTAATTTCGGTGTTTTTTCCCAAAATACACAAATGTAAATTTTTTGAAAGATCTTTTACGTTGTTGATATGCACATTTCCAGTCATTTGTAAACACTAATATATTTGTGAGTTAATGTACTTAAAATGACTTCTAGCGAAGTTTTTCGAAAACTCAAAAATTTACAGTAGTGCTTAAACGATAGTTTCTTTAATAACTGTTCCAATTTTTTCAAAGAAAATTGCCATTTAGGACGAATTTTTACTGTTCTTTAATAATCTTATAATGATATTTCCGCTCTACAATTAGGAAATCGAAAAAATAAGAAAATGTCCAAAAAATGTACTTTGGGTGACGATAGAGGCAGCAGGCAAGAATATATGGCAAGTTCGAATAGCTAACCGAGACCAAAGGAAATAGAAAACTAATATGGGATAGTCTGTGCATTCTGTAGCACCATTAGTTTACAATTATAAAACTGATCTTATCGTGTTCGGAGGCATTTTTTTCGAAAGTTTTTGAATTAGTGCTTTGTACTTCGTGCGGAGAAATGTATTTTGTTCTGTGGGGTATATTAAACATGGATGAAGATGCTATTTAAGGATTTCGTTTTGCTAGATGTGAAAAAGAGGTTTTTTTGTTAGTAAAGGTGTTTTGGAAATGTTTTGCTAATGCTTCTGCTTTGGTGCTATGAGAATGTATTTCCCCTTTTTGTTTGTACAGGTGAAATTTTTTTTTTCAGAGTCTTTTTTGTAATTTTTCATAGAAATGTATTTCTTGTATTGCAAGTATTATTTAAAGGAATTCTTACTAAGTTCCAGAGTCGTCTGATTTTATTTTTTAATTTAATTGGGAGGATTTTTTAACCGGTAGATGTTTTTTTAGTTTAATAAAAGTGTCTAAACTTTTGTTTATTTCTTTAATTATTCAATTATTTAATATTGGTATTGCATTGTCAATTTCTGTTGGAGATTTTAATGTAAGAAACGCAGGGCTTGAGATGTTGATATTTTTGTTAAGTGTTTTCCAGTTCATATTAACTGTGTTTAGGAATATTGAAGAGGGAGGGTATGGAGGGAGAACGGGGAGATTGATAGACATAACGACTAGGATGTGATAAGAAACTAAACATGGTATGTGAGCGTCTTTAATTGGGAATTGAAATTTGTGAGCGCTACGTGAGGATGTCCGGATTTTTCTGTGAATTAAAGGGATAGTATGAATGATCCAGCAAAGCAATAATAAAGAAGGGAATTATATGTTGTAGATTACGAAAGAAGTCGCCGACAAATTTGGTGCTCGGCATTCCCATGAGTGAGCATATCATTGAGGTCTCCTACGATGATTGTGGGGCTAGGTAATTGCAACAATGTAGATGTACTGTTATTGCTTGTTTTAATTTTGGGAGGTTTGTATGTTGAGATTAATGTTCTTTAATTGAATTTTAATTGCAATTGTGTCGACGCTAAGGTTGGGTGGTGGGATGAACTGGCAAAGTGGAATATTTTGTTTGATTAGAATTGGGACTCCTCCTCCTCCTCCTTGGTCGTTTACTCTGTCAGATATATAAATTTTCAAATCCGGAATTGAGAATTTGATTGAGCTAATAAAGTGAGTTTCTGTTATGCAAGCGATATCCACTGATTTTATGTGGAGGAAATGGATTACTTCAATTTTCGGTTGTAGATTCTATGAGTTCCAATTGAGTATGATCAAGTTTTTAAGGGGAAGGTTGACATAATTTTTATTTAATTATGAGATTATTGATATTTATGTATGAGGTATGCTTTGTATTATTGTTAGAATTACTGAGGCTGTAGTTGTGATGAGAATTACTGAGGGTGCGATGGACTGATTTTTCGCGTTTCCGGGGGCGTCAACTGGTATGCTCAAAAGCTTGGCGAGCGGCCCCGCACTCATTTCGTTATGCTACTGCACCAGCGGGCACAATCCCAGCCGAGACAAGCTCTAAGCTTCCGACTGGTTTCCTGACATGAGTGGTAGTGCGTGTAAGAATAAGAGTGTGTAAGTAAGGGGTGAGGATAGAACAAGGAAGAGGAAGGGAAGATCGCGCGCGATCTGTAGTAGAAGAACATGTTTGTTAGGGTACCTCTCTGGCGTTTGCCTGGTGTTGATCGAAGAAACCACGAAATACCGAGAGCGTAGGCTTCCGCGGCCGGAGTCAGTATTTACTTGGCTGTCCGCGTGACGCCGTCCATGGCGAAGGTGCCGACGTTTCGGTCGCCATTCTGCGACCTTCCTCGCATCACGCCCTGAGGAAGGTCGCAGAATGGCGACCGAAATGTCGGCACCTTCACCATGGACGCGGCGTCACCCGGACAGCCAAGTAAATACCACGAAATACCTCCTATCAGAGAAACCGGTCACTCAAATTGTCGTCCAAACAGCGACTGAATTCCCCAGCTTTGCCAGGCTTTATAAACTTTAGAGAGCTCGTCGCGTTGCAATTAAAGTGGTAAATCATTCCATACACTCTACAAAATTGTTATATTCCAAGCCATTAAATTTCATCGCTATATGAACCATAAAGAGTTTGTGATTTAGTGGAGGCCATAATTGGCCGGAAAAAATTCCGGAGTCTCAGTGTCAAATCCGAGGATGTGAAAAGTACTTGCGACAGGCTATACCGAAGTGCTGCAGTCCAAATGAACATACTAAATGGTGAAATTATATCCTACAAGTTTGAAATTTTAACATTTTAAATTTCCCGCTAGTACGTACACCAAATCCTAAAAATTATTTCAAGATGGCGCCCTCCTACACGTAAGACACTTTCGAGCTGCCTTTGTTTATACATTTGAATATTCAGTAAATTATAGAGTTTAAGGAAGTAAACGAGGCACGGACCATTCTGCCAGTAAACATTCATTGTAGAAAATTTAAAAATAAGAAATGTAATCACGCCTCTGCCGGCTGTAAATTGCGAAATTAACTGTGATCGTCTCTTGTCTGAGACTAGTTCAGAAATGTTCCACATGGACGTTTTTCTTCGGATTGGACGCGCTGTCGACCCAAAACAAGGATCAGGATAGCCGGGCGTTTACGGCGTATAGTTGATGGTAGAGGATTATGGCGATGGCAACGACACAAATTAAGGGCAGTGGATGGCCGCGAAGAGCTAGTCAAAATGCTCCGTTTGAGCAGAAATTTGTCCCAAATCAGTCGATTACAATCAACAGAACCATAAACTTGTAAGTATGAGTTTTGTGAACGAGATAATTTGGTTCGATGCTGTTGCTGTTGGTTCTCTGGTTTGGCGTTCTCTTCGTTTTTGCTCGTGGTTGAGCAGTGTTTCTCCTTGGTATTGTTTGTTGCCGTTGCTCTGTGTTCATTGCGAATAGTATTTAAATGAATAGATTAGTACTTTGTATGTGGATGTGATGTTTCTCGAGCTATTTTTATCTTAACGAAAACATCACTAAGAAAACATCTTCGCTTGAGGATCACAAGAATTTTGTATTTTACTGACTTAAATTTTCATTGGTTAAAGAGTTAATTTTGTTTGAGGTGTATGTTAGTTTCTAAAAACATGTTAACCTATGCCTGAACACTTGCTTGTGTGTATAATAACTGCAATATTTATAAGAAAGTGTTCTGTGGACTTTGTAATAGTGCTGCTCTGCATTGGTTTGTTGATAAATTAGGGCTTCGAAGCAGGAAATGGACCTGTAAGTCTTCAAAATTTGTTTTTGCATGAACTGGCTTCAAATTTCCCTCTATTAATATTATGAAAAATCAGGTTAAAGAGTGTTAATTTAATTTTAAGTGTATGTTAGTTTCTAAAAACATGTTAACCTATGCCTGAACACTTGCTTGTGTGTAATAACTGCAATATTGAAAAGAAAGTGTTCTGTGGACTTTATAATAGTGCTGTTCTGCATTGGTTAGTTGGAAAATTAGAGCTTCATAGCAGGAAATGGACCTGTAAGTCTTCAAAATTTGTTTTTGCATAATCTCTCTTCAGATTTCCCTCTATGAATATTATTAAAATCAGAACATAACCAATGCATGTTGAGAAAGTTTTGAATAACTTCACTTTAAAAATGGTCACTATTTTCTTTAAAGAAATGCAAATGTTGTTCAGGTCTGAGTAGCTATGTATGTGTGTGTGTATATATTTATATATAATCAATTTTATGAAAGAACAAAAACTAGTAAAAATTTTGTACACATTGTGATTTGATGATTTATTTTAAGTTGTCTCTTTGGTAGACACCTCTTCATGGTGTTAAAGTATGATTTGTATGTATTTATTGTGATGTTTAGAAAGAAATGTGAAGAACATGAAGTACTTTTGTTACCACCCCCTCGTAAGTACGTGGTTGCTAAAATGTACTGAATCCTAAATTGTGCATGGAAAAAATTCTTGTGTATTCTAATAATTATAATGTATTTATTGAATCATCAACACCATTAAATATTAATTTAACATTTTCTTTGTGTTACTTGTGCTCTTCCTTAGTTGTTATACTTATCTTGCATATGATGCATAGTTTTTACTGGTTTTTGACAAAAATTTTAATTTTACAAAATTATTGAATTGTGGAGGCATATAACTCTTGAATGGGTGTGCTTCTGAAAGTTAAAATGTAGAGCAGTGTGGTGCACATTTGCTACCAGCTCTGTTTTCTTAAGAATAATCGTATTCTTAAGTACTTTTTTCAACAAATTGTTTCCTTTGGACATAATTAATTCATGTGTATTATTTTGCAATATTTGTATTTACCCAAATTCCTTGGCAAATTGGGAATTTATAACATTGGCAGAATTGCAGTAGGTGTTAAGAATTATAACCTCTCTTCACTATAATTAATTCATTCAGTCATAAAATCTAGTAGTAGTGAATGTGATATGCACAGCAACAAGAGTTACACGACTGGGTGCACAGTCCAAATCTGCTCCAACAATCTTGCAGACCGCTGGCAAGTGATGCAGGTATCAATATTAGAAACAATTTTATCTTTTTCCTGGAATGTCACCCGAGAAATACTACAGGCCATGACATCCAGGAAGGGCTATTACTGAACATACCCAGAAAAATATTTCAGTGGTAGCAATTCTGCTCCAACACTGCCACTCGAGGGTTAGTGGTATTTTGGAGAATATTCTGCTATGTTCTGTCTGTACTTTTAGATATAACCCATATTCTTTAATGTTAAAAGGTTTATCATTTCACGGTGTAACTTACTTTGACTGTGAAATTATACATTTTTAGTACTGAACATTAAAAACTAACAAAACTAATAATGAATGACCTCGGATGGTATTTGAGGGTAAAATTTATTATATTAGGATTTAACTTATGATTAAAAAGTATGGGGACATTCATGCTATATTAATGCCATCCCTGAGTTGCATTGTAATGCTAAATTAAGAAAACTCGTATTACTTCAAGCAATCATTAAACATTTTTTCTTTCCCTTTCCAAATATTCTACCAAAATAAAAATGCTGTAAGTAAATGAAATCCCCTTTCTGCTGTAGGATGAATTGGATTTCATATGAACTTAATTTTGGTACTGATGTATGTATTAAATAACTTACTCAGAAAAAAATTACATGGTTGTGGAAAAAGGACCTTTACTGTTCATAGTGCTGTCAGGAAAAATTGTTTTGGATAATTTAAAATAAATCTAGATAGGAACGTGAAACTGCAAAACATTTTGTGTAACCGGAACGTCGTGTATTTGTTAACTTTCTTGTTTCCAATCTTTATTTTGAGAAGTCACTTTTTTCAAAGAGACTTTCTCTGAATATTATCAAATTAAATGTGAGATCAAGATGAGAGTATGATTTATTGAGGTGCAATGTTTAATTTGTCGGTTCTTTATTACAAAGTACTATAAGAAGTGCTTGATGGAGTTATCAGAGTTTGTGTGATTCTATTGGCCTATAAATTTAGTTTTGTGATTTTACGTAACTGTCGGTTCTTACTTCTCCTCCAGAGGCAATAATTCTAACTATTCATTTTGTTTCACTAATTGATTGATTTACGGTTTCAATTGCTGTATTTTTTTTTTATGTGCATTAACTTTGAGATCAACTGAAGTAATACAAAAATTCAGTACTTCACTACTTAATGTAAAAAATGCACAAATTTATCAAATACACTTCAGATTTTACCAAATTATTTACAATTTAACTTTTAAAAGCATCAGAAGCACACAGATTTACTGTTCCATGCACCGCAAATAACAGCCATTACATGGCAAGACAATTTGTGGTATATACAGTTATTGCAAAGTTTGGCGATTCAAATATAAAGGCTCTAGAAGGATAAGATGGTGAAAAGTACCTCCGCTCGTGAAATCAAAAATAAAATTTTTTCAGAGGATTGTGACCATGATGAACATTTTTTCATTGACATTTTAGATTCCTCCCTCACACACTCAACCTTCGTGGATAATCATTTTGTGAATTTCCATGGAAAATAATGGTTCTTTATGTGAAATTTGCTAAATATTTCAAAAATATTTTTTATTTAAAATTTTATTTGCCTTGAAATTGAAACTTGTAAATGGATTTGAAAATTTTGGAATTTTTTAAAGAAAGGGTTTTTTGCCGGATGCACAGGAAAATTCTCAAATGTTGGCCTAAAAATAAGCTATCTTCAAGAATTTTTCTGATTGGTGCGCCATGTTTAAGAATAATACAAATTTTTGTCCTATTTTGCATATTTTCATGTATCGAGATATGTAATTCCATTATTATTTGTTTTTCTACTTTCGACAATATTTGCAATATTAAAAGGCTAATGTCAATAAATAATTTTGTCATTATTTTGACTGTTAGACATAACCACGTCAGAAAGTGAACAACTTTTTTAGTTATTTTTAATTGTTTGGCATAACATAACAGAATGTAAAAACAAATATTGACTAATTATTTTATAAATGGATGTATAATTTGCATTAAAAATTGGTTTTGCAAAGACCGGCGAAACATTTTATTCATCATAATACAATCGCTTCAATTATTAGAAATTATGGCGGCAATGTGGAAGCAACATCAGATTGTGCAAATTTCCATAATCTCATCATTATCATAGTATTTCTGATGATCCAGTAGCAGCAGGTTTATATTGCACAAAGTATTTGTTTTCCTTTTTTATAAGTTGTGATTGGACTTCGAAATTCAGGGTAGTGGGTTCTATTTTGGATATTGTAAATCAATGTTGTTTTCTGTAAACATTTTTGTTAAATATAAAATTGCTTGACCTAATTGATATGGTTCACAAAAAAATAATAAAATTTTCTTCCGTTAGCTCTGGAAAAATCTGTTATGAGTAACCTTTTTGAAATCCACTTTTTGTCTGGTCCATCTTGTTCTTCAACTTGGTGGCAAGCGTTTTTTGTTGTAGGTTGTGGAAGTAACCTTCATTGGACAATATCTTCTGTTCTGCTCACATTGGAAATCATTCTTCGACTAAAAGTATTGTTCAAATAACATGTTATATTACAACACAAGCTTACCATTTATATTAATTTGTTGCCTAATTGGTGGGGCAAGAGTTTGTATATTTTTCAAATGACTTACGATTTGCTTCTTCAATCCAGTGAATCTTCATTGCGAAACGAGGAGAATTAGGTTTGTCAGTTGTTAACTGCTTAAGATTACCTTTCAGTGCTGGCATAAGAACGGTGTGCTTTTGATCTTTTGGATTGTTTTTGGTATCTCTAAAACATTTCTATCATGCAAAACTCTCCTTCCTGTATTAAGCTTGTTATTAAACTTGTTCAAACCATGTGGATTGGAGATAATTTTTTCATATTTAAGCATTTAAATATTTTTTAATATGATAGAAATGTGTTTTATAAGCTATTTATTTTGTTAGTATACACCACTACATCTAAAATTCTCACTTCAATTAGTCGATTGTCAAATATTGATAATTTTTTAAACCTCTCAAGCAATTAAAAATAACTTTAAAAAATTGTTCACCGTCTGATACAGTTATATCCAAAGCTCAAAATATTGACAATTATTTATTGATATTTATCTTTTAACATTGCAAATATTGCTAGAAGAAAACAAATAATATTGTAATTACATGCCTCTGCATGTAAATGCGCAATATGGAACCACTTTTATCAAAAATAAATAATTTTTTTTTAAAAAGTTTGAATTTTACTGCAAATAAAATTTAAAAAATTATATATTTAGCAAATTTTACATAAATAACCAACAACATAACCATGTGACCATTTGGTGTGGCTTGTCATTGTCACTTTTGAAGTTCACAAAGTTTACTCTGTGTTACAAAATTGTCAATTTTTAAACAAGTCTCTTAATAACTGACTATATGATTATGAAGTGTAAAGTACTACTTTTAGTATATTATTATTATTTATCATTATTATAATTATTAAAAGCGGATATAGGGATGGAAAGTATATAAAAAGTGTTCTTAAAAAATGTTCAAAATGTTAATGCGAGTGTGTTTCATTATATAAGAAGTTATAAGAATTGTTAAAAATTTACAGGGCACTAATCGACCTGATGGAATAAGTAGTGAATTAATGAAAAAATCATGTTCAGTGATTGGAAATGGTTACTAAAATTGTTAAACAGTCATTTGACCAAAGAAAGATATCAAGGACACTGAAAATATCAATGATTATTCCTAAAGCTAAAATAAAGAGTAGTGCAAAATGCTGTGTTCTTAGGACAATAAATACTCCTCCAGTAATTAAAATCATGGAAACAATAGTGTATGAAACATAAACGAAATATATTAGGGAAAACAATCTGCTTACAGAATACTACTCTGGATTTACAAACATGGTACAGACATCATTGAAATGGTTATTGAGGATGGGCTAAGAGCTATTGAGAGGGTTAAGGAGGTAGTGGCAGTGTCACAGGAAAGGTTCGTGTTCTTGGACTAGAGTCATTGGAAAAAGAGGGTGCCATTGAAAAATCTGCGAGAAATGTAGAATGTAATTGTAATAGCAATTAATACATGGAGTGCCACTAGAGTAAATTATGACCACTATGGTTACCTAAATGATTTACCAGGTGGTGGCAGATCAACTTAAACACCGTTTGCTGATAATATGTTAATTTATATAGATGGTAATAATGTGCAAGATGTGATAAAAAGAATAAACATACAATTTAATTTGGTCAGTGAATGGTTGAGTATAAATTTTTTGTGTTAATGTCAGTAAAGGCAAAATGTATGGTTGTGGGTATCACACACACAAGGGAATGAGTAGATTGAAGGCAATCGGTTGTTTTCAGGTGCAAATCTTGAATGAATTTGGAAATAGACATATCTGGGAGTGATTAGAGATAACAATTTAAATTGAAAAGATGATGTTGAACACATCAACAACAAAATAACCAGGAAAGTTTATTTGTTGTATAATTTGAGAACAGTACTTTCAAGAACAGAAAGGAATTATTATTTAAGTTAATTTTGGTGTCTCGTTTTCGATACTGCTCAACTGTTTGTACTGTGATAAATAAAAAATAAATTTAGAGGTACAAATTAACTTTAACAGGGGTATGACAGCTGTTTTAAATAAGGCATAGTTCAAATGTACAACTATATATTAAAAGAATTATGATATTTATTAGTAGAAAAGATAGTAAGAGGGATGTGTTAACTTTCATTTACGGATCGGAAAAGGAATTTAATAGAATATTTGGACTGTTCAGTAAAAAATAGCGTTCATCATACCCGACAAGAGACTATTCAATTCCATGTGGGGAAAAGTGCTAAGCAGTAAAGTGTTAAGTATACCGAGTAATATTTCATGGAGGAGTGACCTTATACAATAAATTACTACATGAAATAAAGCAATCATGGTGGTTTGGTAAATTTAGAAAAGTGTAGCTGTCTTCTTGGAAAGTAACGAGTATGAAAATGAATGTACAGATAATCGTATATTATAAAATTAATTAATGTATACAATTTTTATTGTTATATAGCAGGGTTGTCCAACTGGTGAGCCACATGTGGCTCGTGGTGCCATTTACTGTGTCCCGCGGCAGGTTGTTAGTCAAATTTCAAAGTCCTCTGCGGGAGAGAAAATTGTGTGTCTAGCACATGCACTGCCAGAGTCCAACACCTCCTTTAATGTAAAAATAGGTTAAGTATAGGTCAAAGTACCAATATCAACAATACAAGCAGGTGTGGATCACCCGAGTAATGAAAATATGGCCCACAACCAGGATATAAGGTTTTTTCATTGTGGCCTTCAAAGTTGGACATCCCTGTTATAGGACCTAAATATTTGCTTTTTTAAAGTTTATAAAATTGTAAGTAATGCCAATTATTTGCTTTATAAACAAAACATGATATTGACAATTAAATTAGTCATAGGCTATTTGTAAGTAAATAAATTCTCATATTAACCATGTACCTCTTGAAATAGTGGGGCAGGCAGTTTTGTCTCTCGAAAGTACATTTCATCTCAGTATATGTGAAGTATTGCTCCTTGTTAGCAAGGTTGTAACTCTTAACTATTTAATTTATTGCGTCTCCTAGTTTTGAGGGGAATGACTAATATAAATGAGTACTTATTTTATTGTTTAATTCATAGTTTTAGAAAGACAGTGACAATATTTATAAGATATTAAATGTTGTAATTTTTTTAAATTATTTACTATAATACATCAATCAAATCTGAAATGTGGATTGATCTTAGTCTTAAAAGAATCAATAATATAATTCATTTTTTTTTAAATGCAAGTTTTGTGTGTCATTGATTCCTAATTGTCTTGAAATCACCTTCAGAACAAGTTATTTTCATATTGCCGCTTCCAGAATTCACACTTTTCATAATTAAATTCATATATTTTTTGGGGCTCTGCAATTTTGTTGAATTGCATTTAAGCTCAGAAGTAATTTTATCAATAGCAGTTAATTTTATTGTCTTCTTGAAGCTGTGTAGCCGGTTAATTTTAAAATGGTGTGGGATTATTTAATTGATCTGTAATGTATATGGAGAATGCAATATTATGTTATGTTTTCAGATATCCTCTCACAAATTACACGTTTGGAACTAAAGAACCTTTATTCGAGAAAGATCCATCTGTGCCAGCTAGATTCCAGCGAATGAGGGATGAATTTGAGAAAATTGGCATGCGGAGAAGTGTTGAAGGTGTTTTATTGGTTCATGAACATGGACTGCCTCATGTGTTACTCTTGCAGTTGGGAACAACATTCTTCAAATTGTAATTATGAATTTGTTCTATTTGTTCAACTAAGAGCAAAATATTTATTTTAATTTTCTATTTCAAGTTTTGATATAAGGTTTGTAATTATTAGTATACTTGAAATATACTTGAAAAGATAGCAAAAAGTATGCTTGAAATATCTGGAGTAATGAGATCACGTAATTCTTGAAAAGATTAAATTCTTTTTCTGGTGTGGAAAATATAAGGGCATCTTTCTAGTACAATTTCATAAAGATTGAACTTTTACTTCTGTGATAATTTCAGTTCAGTTTCCAAATGAATGGTCACAAGTGTAAATTAATTAGGGTTTTTGTATTGTAATTTTATGATAGAAGATTTAGATATAATAATAGATATTTTATTATAGAATAATTATAGATATAATAGACTCCTTATAGTGCTGTATTATTATTTTGAATGTGCTTTATAATTATTTTGAATTTAGTAAAATAATTTTAAATTTTAACTGCAGACCTGGTGGTGAATTGAATCCTGGGGAAGATGAAGTAGATGGTCTGAAAAGGCTATTGACAGAGGTGAGTTGTAAATTAAACTTGAAGTTGTTCTGAAGAATATGAGTTATTTTAAATTCTTTTTGAGAGTTCGAATAGATTTCGCTGTGAGACAAATTTCGGCTACACGAGTATTATTATACAATTGTTAGAAAGAGAAAAAGCCCTCTTGCTATTTCGTATTGTGTGGAATCCAAATAGTCTGCCAACATCACTCTGCAAATTGTCTTCACTTTTGGATTCCATGTAATGTGAATGCATTGCACAGGATTCAATCTAGAAGTTGGTCAGGGATTTTTATCATGCAAATGATCATCGTACGAAAAGCAATGGTATTATACTTGGTACTAAATTATCAAATATTGTATCTGCAAAGTAAATATTATCGTGCCTATGATGCCTAACATGCCTTGCTTATCTAGACATGTTAAACTGAGACATCTTTTCTTTCCTGTCTAGAGTTGTTCCTTGGAGAGAATTAGGCGTTATTGTTCTCTTCCTTTTCTTCTATGAAGCTTTGTTGCGATGACTAGAAGTTAATGAGCTAAGAAGCACAGTTTTCCAAACCCCAATGAAATATAATTTAAAGAAACCAAATTTTTGTGTGACTAAATGATCTGGCTTTGGATGAGTGAATCTGATTCAAAACATTCATAGGAGGAGTGCTAAATGTGTTGCAAGTAGTTATATTGTATAAATTAAGTATTGCTCGTAATACCTCAAAATGCATTCAAATGTTAAATCCTGTTTGTTTGTTTGGTTTTTTGTTTTTTTTTTTTTTTGTTTTTTTTTTCCACCCTGAATTAGATTAAACATCTGTAGCTAGTAAAGTAACTGGGATTGTATCAAACAAGAATACATAAATGCAATGCGGTTGATTAATTTTATTGTTGTTACCCAAGATACTGGGAGGTAGTACCGGAAAATTAGAAGAAATTGAGTAATTTGTGTTACGGTCTTTTCAAAGTTCTGAAATTCTTTAAATTGGATGATGTATTTGCTAGTTCATTTCAACCTTCAATTTCATAATTTAAAAAAGACATGATTTGTGATATCCTATAGCAGTTGGTACGGGATCATTGCATAAAGTTTACTTAATGATTGTCAGGGCAATTTCACAGCAGTATTAGGGCCACAATAGTAAAAAAAAATTATGTCCTTTAATGTCTTTAATAATCTCTTTGATTTATGGAGAGTTCACTACTGTTTAAATCTGGCTTGTTGATTGGTCATATCCAATTTCTTGCTTCTTGTCAGACATAGTCATAATGTTGCTGGTCAGACATGGTTTGTCATGGTTGCATTTGTCCTTATTTTATGGACGTGTCTATAACATGACTGAATTCTTGCTGTGCTTTTTGCAGTGTGTTTGTTTGGAAAATTCTTGAATTGTTGGAACAAGCATTACAGTGAAACCCCTTTCTATACTCCACACTTAGGGACTGGTTGAAACACGTGCCAAATTGAAATTATTTTTTTTGTACAGATTTTGTTCCAAAATGCAATTTACTTCTAAAAAATAATGATAAATATTATAGAATGTATTAGCAACCTAGTATAAAGAAAAATACGAAAACAGTAAGTTATTGTACTAAGAGAATTCCTGCAGCCTACAATTGAAAATAAATGTCCTCCTTAAAAATTCTAATTATTGCCCAGAATAACTCCTTCACGTAGTTCAAAATGTGCACTAGCAATTACACATTTTTTGTTTTCATGCTTTAGATTGTACAGTTTGTTTTCGAAGTCATTGCATTGAACAGATTTTTTCTTCCACATTGAATTGTTGAAGATGCTTTGTGCAACATAAATTCCTATAAGAACTTGATTCTGGTATCTCACCTGCATCTTGTTCTTAGTTATTGTCCGACTTTTATGTCTCTTTAAGAGTAGATACTGTACTTGACATTCCAGCTTCTTGGCCCACTTACTGGTCTTCACATGTTGAAATATCATTGTCGATAGTCACATAACCTTGGAAGTTACAACCACTTGCTATTAAACATTGCCAACCTTCATTTTCATTTTATATTGAAATTGAAAGATAAAAGTTTTCCATTTTATTGGCAGTTGGAAAGACTGATTTTCTGACTTTTATATGGTCATGATTGATACTCTTGATCTCTCAAATTTTTTTTACTAGCTGCTTTCTATTGTAGTACTTGAAGGCATGGATGATACCCCATATCCAGTGGCCAGTAATATCCAGTAATTGACTTGTGATGCTCAGTGGTAAAAACATTACCTTCACATTTGTTAGCCTACAGGTCATTGAACAGCAAAATTTTTCAATTCTTGGTTCCCAATCTGCCTATCAAATTTCTGATGAAATTCTTCCAGCCATCAAGGTTTGCTGTGTATTTGGTTGGAAGAGGTATCATATTTTTAAAACTTCGAGGTGTCTGAAACTTTTCGATGACTAATAGCTAGCTTTGTGTGCATAATGCTCGTCATTGTCATTGCATCTATAACCGCAGTCATTGTTGTGGTTTTTCTGGTAGCATAGTTTTGCAACTTACAGTGCTAATCCACTGTTGTGTTGCTTAATTATACTACTAGAGTACTTAAAATGTAGCAAAATTCTGCATGTAGGCATGTCTGCAGAAGTAATCGTAGCTTTGGAAGGTTAAAAGAGCGAGTTAAGATGCAGGGGTTGGGATGCAACATCTTTAAGTTATTTTTTCGTAATTGGACCGTTTGCTTCTAGAATTATTTACTTTTCCATTATATCTATATTCATGGATTTCAAGTACCTTATTGTGAATTTTTCTTTTCTTAATTTGAGAACCAAAATGAAATTTTCATTTATTTGCACTTACAATGGATTTTGGGCGTAATTCTGTAATAATACAGTATTTGATTTCATGAATTAAGTTTATTTATACTACTACTACACTCTTGTAATTTACATAAAGGAATGCATGTTTAATTTCGTTTTATTCTATAAATTTGCAATTGTTTTAAATCATTAACTTAATGAACTTGAATTATTAACTTGTATAATTTTAAGTGCATACAGAACAGAAAAATGCAAAACATGTTAAGCAATAGAAACAGAAATACTAGTGCAAACTTACATTTCATGAGGTATGTTTTGCCAGTCAACGGCCAGTTTCTTATAATGACTCAGCATCTTTATTTATTTTAAATTAGGTTATAAAGCATTTATTATTTTTTGCCTTTTGATAATCTTTAAAATGAGACCCTGAAAATGTTTAAGCAATTAAAATGTGAACTACAGTAAAACTCCTCTCTTACTCTCTTACAATTTTCATGGAACCATTGGGAAAATGGTGTAAATAAGGAGAATTGTTGTTTTCCTTCCTTGAAAACAGAGTATAATATATTTAGACAAACAATAAGCATTATAATATACATAATTAAATACATATTATACAATATTGCGTGTTCAAAATGTGCGACATCAGAAATCACAGGCATATTTACATCAAAAGTAGTGAATTTGTGGCAATGATCCTTTCAAGAGTCCTCAGCATGGAAGACGCATGTACCATTGTTGGATGAGGAGTGTGCAATGGTATTTCTACTGTTAGAGAAAATGCGACGTTTACATGTTCCCCTACTCAGTAAAAGTTTGTTTTTGGCAGTTCGTAATGATTTTTGACTTGATATTTTATATTTTTTTTGATTTCATAAGGAATAGAAAGTGGGTTCATGAAATGAATTTAGTAAAAAAAACTCATGGAGAATCCCATACTTTGAGCTATAAAGGTTGGGGAAAAGGTTGAAATATTTTAGAATGAGACCGAGTGAAATTGTGAAGAAGGATTAAAAATTCGGATAACTGTGAGGCTACCTCTCTCATATTCTTCAACAAAGGACGTTGCTTATTTTTTTATTCCTTTTTAAATATCGCTGTAATGACATGAAATGAAAATGTGTGGGTAGGCCTAGCTGCTAAATAAAGATTTTCACTGTATTTAAATCTTCTAGTCTTCATGTAACATTCTACAAAACTCTTTATTATATTGCAGCATTTCAATAGTCTTTGCTGTGTTTGAAGTCTGAAGGTGGTGGGAAAGAGCTGTGACTGTGCGATGTGCGTGACGCAAAGTGCTTTCCAGACTGTGTTGTAATTGGAAAATACACGAGTTAATATTCAAAGTTTTGCAAATCAAGTATTCTCAAACTTTATTTTCATCAAATTCTTCTTAAACCACAGCTCTTTAATCATTTATCCTATTAAATTTCAGTCTCTGCTCATTGTTCTGTAGCATGTACTTTTTACATAAATGGATACTTGTTTTTGGTCTATAGAACAGGTTGAAATATGATTGAAGGTGTGAAAATATCATCATTCTGTTTGTGTTGAGCATGTTGCCTTGTGTTCTACAGTTCTTTTTACTTGCACCATTTTTTATTTCAATATTCACCAAACACATTGCCCTTATTTGTATCTGATTAATTCAATGTCAAATATGTTCAACAGCGCATATAAGAAATTCTAAAGTGAAGTTTTAAAACGTATTTCACAAGTTACATAGTAGCTAGTGTCTTTACTACATCTACTTGGTGCATACTGGTTAATAGTACATATCTAGTTCTGAGATACCAATATTCCTTTTTTTGGGACTTTCTTTTTTTAAGAGCTTGTTATACACTTGCGCAATTTATTTCATGTAAATTATATTAATGCCTAGTGAAATAGTCTTTATTTTTATAATTTCTTTAGTGTGTAGGACCATGTAATTACTTGCTAACATCTTTTAATTAGTAATTATATTATTATAGAACTTCATAAGATATAAATTTTCATGGTACATTAAATTAAAATAGATAAGAATTACCGTTATTCTAATGTTATATTTGAAATAAAATATAAACTTAGTTCAAACAAGTTATCCTGGCTTCTCATTTTAGTCTGCTTATTGTACTGCAGATACGCATTAACAATTTGTGAAAGATCATGACTACTCTTTGAAGTGTTAATACTGTGAAATAATGTAAAAATAATTTTAAAATTGTCATGTGTAGCAATTGTATGCGAGGAAGTCTGCTTGCGA